TGGAATACCTCCGGCACCTCTTCCCATGGGGTGGGCTGGAAAGGCGCAGGGGGGGAGACCTTGCCTCGGAGGCCCCCTTCCCCTCTCTTCCTTCCAAAGGGAGAAGGCCTCCCTGGACGCCCCCCCCTCGGGCCACGGCCCTGGTGGAGGGCTGCTCCTCCTCCTCCGCAGACAGGCGTGGAGGAAGGGGGTGCTGCAGAGGGGATCCAGCCTCCCGGGGGAGGGGGCGTGGGGGCTTCTGCGTAAAATCCTGAGGGATCCGGGCGCCTCGTGGTGGGGTGGGTCAGGGCACACTTGGCTGAGCGGTGCAGGGGGAGGAAGTGGGCGCCCAGAGGGCCCACGGAAAGGCCCATGGGGCCCGGAGGGAGCAGCTTGGCCTCAGGAGCCCCGAGGAGAGGAGAGCGGCCAGGGGCCGGAGGGCTGGGGCTGGGGCCTGCCCGGTGCCATGGCTGGTTCAGCCCGCCGGGACTAGAGGCGCTTGGCGGGGCCCGCTGTCCGTCCCGTTCCCCCCTCCCGAGCAAAGGCCCTCCTGCTGCTGCTGCTGCTGCTGCCGCCTCGGCCTCCTCTAGCCAGGGTGGGGGCCCACGGGGGCCCCTTCAGCAGCCGTCAGAGGTCCAGGGAGCACTGTGGCCTCTCCTTGTGGCGCAATGGGAGGCTTGAGAGAGCAGATCCCCGACCGGTTCCTTGACCTCTTCCTGCCCGGGGTCCCTGCTCTCGGCACCCAAGTCCACAGGTGGGGCTTCAACCTCACGCAGTCGCTGCGTGGAGGGAAGGGGAAGTGGTGCATGCGCTCACCCAGCTGAGCAGGAACCTAGATCCTGGCAGGATGCTCTTCCTGAGGCAGGCACACGGGGGGGGGTGAGCAGTGTGTGAGGCTCTGGCCCCCTTTTGCTTGGCCCTCCACGCTCATGCGGCCTCTCTGCCTTCATGTGCATGCATGCGCGTGCACCCAAGTCAGAAGAAGGCAACCCTTTATGTGCAGGAAGCAAGATGGTGCCTGCCTCCCCCGTCACAGAGGCCTTTCCCGCTGAGCCCAGGGAGGCTGCCCCCCCCCATGCCAGGGTGTGGGGGGGGGACAACTCCCTCGAAGGAAGGCTGTCCCTGGGGCTGATCAAGTTTGTGCTGCTTAGGGTAGTTTGCCTCTTGCTGGCTTTGGCTGTCGAATTTCTCAGGAAACCCAGCAGATTTTTGGGGCGAACGTCTGTGGCAAGGCCACGGCCACCACGGGAGGCAGTGCGGGGGGAGGGGCTGGGGCGGACGCTTGGGGGGGCTGCCCTTGCCTTTTGGTGAGGCGCCCCAGCCTTGCTTGCTTCGCAAAGGAGCGCGTGGCCTTGTGGGGTGCGTGTCGTCTCTTAAAGTCAGGTAGGGTTGAAGCAGTAAAGAGCCAGGCGCCATGCCTGGGGGGGGGCAGCAGTGGAGGGTCTCCCACATGAAGAGAGCTCGCAGAGGCCCAGACAGATGAGACAGCCTGACCAAACTGGCATCGCTGTAAGTGTGTGCAAGTAGGTGGGTCGTGGCAGGGCCACAGGATGGCCCGGGGATGCCCCCCCTCCGGCTTGCTTTTCGAGGCATGGAGGTGGGGAGATTCGTGGCCCAGAGGAGAAGTCAGCTGATGGCATGCGTCCTCCCTCAGCCTCCAGTTCATCCTGCCACACGGACAGAGTCTGCCTCAGGCTCCCCTTGTGTGCAAACACACTTCTGAGTCGCCCGGGAGACCTCCATCCCCCTCCGGATCATGCGGCTGACCCACAGTTTGCCCAGCCCAGCCCCTCCGCTTGCATCGTGGGCATCTGTGCCTGGGGCGAGTCACGTGGCCTGGCACCGTTCTGTTGCTATTGTTCACTGGAGGGGGGGCTGGCGCCGCTTGCCAGGCGGCTCCCACCCCTCCACCCACCCCACCCCCAGAAAAGGCAGTGTTTAGCTCCTTGAGGAGAAGGAGGAGGAGAATGGATTTGCAGTGTTCGGGCCAGGATTGTACCGGATCTGATTCCGAAGCATCTAACAAGGAGAGAGCCCCCCCCGGGGAGAAGCTTCCCCTCAGTGTTCAGATGGCTGGGGGAACAAGGAGGCCGCTGGTCTGGAAGGGCTTGTGAACCTGGTTCTGGAAGGGGCCACAGATTCCTGAGTGGAACTCCTCTCCAGAGGGCCCCCCCCCCGGCTCCTGACGTCTTCCCGTCTGGAGGGAGAGCAGGCTGTGCTTAGCACCAGGGGGCAGGGAGGTTGTGGGGTCACCCCTTACATACTGAGACCCCCATGAGTCAGTCCGAGGGGCCTGCCCTTAACGGCCGTGCTCAGATCTTGCCAGCTGAAAGCTGTGGTCTCTTTGTTGATTAAGTCTATCTCATGCTCAGTCTTCATCTTTGGCCTTCCAGCAGGAAAAGCCATGCTTTTCCTAGCATTTATCTTTTCAAGTGAGTCTTGTCTTCTCACAGTATGTCCTAAGTTTTATAGGCTCACTTTAGTCATTTTAACCTCTAAGAAGAAAACTTCTGCTTGATTTGGTTTGGATCCGTTCCTCTCTCTTTCTGGCAGCCCATCATACTCGTACAGCTCTCTCCCAACACAACATTTCGAATGAGTTCTTTTATTCGTGTCAGTTTTCTTCACTGTCCAGCGTTCACATCTCTATATAGTAATCAGGAGTATTATAATATGGATGATTTTGGACTCCATCCCTTATTGCACATCCTTCTGCTGAAGGGTCTTGTCCAGCACCTGCCTAGCAGCCTTTCTGAGCCTCAGTCCTCTTTTGATTTCTTGGTTGCAGTTTCCATTTGGAGTGATGGCTGAAGCAAGGTGTAGAAAACCTTGGAACAAATTTGGTATTTTTTTCACCAGCAGCATTAAAGTTAGATAATGTTTCTGAAGCCATTACTTTTGAAGTCTTCATATTCAACTGTAGTCTTGCTTTTGCATTTTTCTCTTGTCACTTTTATCAGTAGTAATTTCATGTCATTCCTGTTTTTCTCTCCGCAACCTTATGTCATCTGCACATCTTAAGACTATTAATGTTTCTTCTAACCATTTTCTCTTCCCCTTCATCTGACTCCAAGCCAGCTTTCTATAGGTCATGTTCGGCATAGACATTGAACAGATGGAGAGATAAAATACATCCTTATCTGATCCCAAGCTATTCTGTTTTATTCCTATCCTGTTCTAACAGAGGCGTCTTATCTAGAGTATATGTTCCATTGGGGGCTAGGGAAAAATCAGGCTAGATCCTGCCAACCATAGGTCATCCGTTCTCCCCTGGGGGGCAGAAACTGGTGTTACAGGTAATCTCTCATTAGAAGAAGGAATTCTTGAACTGCTGAAAGCCTCTGATGGCAGAGAAAGAGCTTTCTCCACCTATCATTTGCAAATAGGTTGCTTTGTTTCCGTGATGGCTCTTTGTGTTATGCACTAGCAAGTCAGAACCGACCTGTAGTGACCCTGGTAGGGCTTTCAAGGTAAGTGAGGTATTTCAAGGAGTGGCTTTCCCCTGTTCCACATACCCAGAGTGAGTTTCCGTAGCCAAGAGCGGGGATCTGAACCCGGGTCTCCTGAGTCCTGGCCCATCACTACCCACGACAGCTCCGGTCGCCCTTGATGGGTCTTTGGGGCTCCTCTGACGTCCGGGCTGCTTCCACCTGCAGAGGTGGCCCACCTTTGGCCGCTGTTCCAGCCCCGGGGCTGCCCTTGGCCGGCCTTCTTTCCTGTGGGCAGCCCGGCTTCCCTGAATGCCCGGAAGTGCTGGCGTGTGGCTGCTCCACTTAGCCCTTTCCTCCTCTCTCTTCCAAGCAGACATAATAAAAGAGGGAGGGCCATCTTGGGCTTGAGCTTGTCTTCCCCACTCCGAAAGACCCTGGGAACTGGGGTGGAGGGGGAGAGAGTCTGCAGAGGCGTCCTGGGCTCTTCACTTCATGGGCCAAGGCAGTCGGGGGCCCTTCAGGCGTTGCTCCCGACTGGCTTTGAGCCTGCAGGAAAAGCCACCCCCCCTACCCATCCCACCCAGCCACTTAACCTAGCCAGGGCTCCTCCTGCTGCCAGCTCTGTAGTTGATCCTGTCTTGGCCTCGCGCCTGCATCAGCTGATGGGGCTGGTCAGTCTGGCTGGAGATTCGGGAGACCTTGCCCATTGTGGAGGAGCCCAGCCTGAGGCCCCTGTTCCCCCCCCCCAGCTTCTGTCCCTCTCAGTCGGGAGAATGCCCAGCCGAAATCCCCCACTCCAGTCCGACCCTCTGCGTTAGGGTGTCTGTGGAGGGGATGGTGCAAGTGTCTCCATTTGGCCAGCTCTGCGTGCTCACCCAAATGGCAGTGGGAGGCTTGCTTAGCCAAGGCTCCTTGTCTTGAAATGTGCTAAGGAAGAAGAAGCCCCATGCGAGACGGGGACCGCCTGTATTTCCAGGTAGAGAAGGCTTCCGTCGGTCCTCCCCAAGAAGGGTGAGAACCGGGGGGGGGATCCTGGAGGAAGGGGCTTCTCCTGAGTCAGACCCTCGGTCCCCTTCCCCTGCTACCACCGGCTCTGACCGGCAGCCACGGCTCCCCTCCAGGTGCCAGGTGGGATTCTTGCCCAGCCATGCCTGGAGATGCTGGCTGCCAGGGATTGAACCCGAGCCTTCTGCATGCAGCGCATGAGCATCTTCCACTTGGGCTTGTTAGCATGTGAGGGAGTCGCCCACCAGGCGGTTGCCTTCTTTGCTGCAAAGGGGAAGAAGTGGCTGCACTCCCGGGGTGAAGACAGATCGGGAGATTACCCCTTTCCCCCTTGGAGGTGGCTGTGTGGGGCAGCCCTTCCTCCTTTCAGCCTGTGGTGAGACAACACTGAGATCTGGGTACATGGCGGGGGGGGAGGGGGAGGATGGAAGCCTCTGAGTCTGCGTGAATATCCTCCCCCCCCCATGATCCCTCTTGGACTGGAGCAGCAGACCTTCAGTGGGGGGGTGGTGTCACAGGGATGGCCCCAGGGATGGCGGGCAGGGCACTTTGGGGGCTAAGCCGCCCCGTCTTCCTCCTCTGCAGACCTGTCACGGAACCGTTTTGCCGAGGTGCCTGAAGACGCCTGCCACCTGATGTCCTTGGAAGGGCTGAGCCTCTACCACAACTGCCTGCGCAGCATCCCTGCCGCCATCGCCAACCTCCAAGCCCTCACCTACCTGAACGTCAGGTAAGCAACAGGGGAGACGCCCGCCTGGTCTGAGAGCCCAGGCCTCCCTCCCCCCCCTCTCCTGGGCCGTGGAGAGCTCAGCATGGATGAGCACACGGACACGTGCCTTGCTTTGCCGGCAGGGAGGCAGGCGTCCCCTCCCTGGGGTGCCCCCTTCTCTGCCAGCGGCCTCTTCCTCTCCTGCCCGCAGCCGGAACCAGCTCTCTGTCCTGCCCTCCTGCCTTTGCCGCCTGCCCCTCAAAGTCCTCATTGCCAGCAACAACAAGCTGGCGGCCCTGCCCGAGGACATCGGTTCCCTCAGCAGCCTGCGCCAACTGGTGAGTCCACCACACGCAGCGGAGGGGAGACTGTACAGAAACTCCACTGGGTGGGCAGCTGTATTCCTTGCCCCACCCGCCCACTCACCCACCACCTTGGGGGCCCGTCTGCTGCTTAGGGGGGGGCTACTCCCTCAGGCAGACATGACAGGATCAGAGTGGGCTTTGCTGGTGGCATCCATTCCTCCGCCCCCCTCCCCCCGTGTCCGGCCATCCATGGTGTCCCAGAAAGAACAGGAGAACACGTGCTCGTGGGAGAGACCATGGGAGACAAGTAGGCTCTTCTCTGTGGCCCGGCCGGCTCATCCCTCCCTGGATCCCTCTTTGGCCCTCTTGGCACCACTCTGTCCAGGGCAGAAGGTTCCCTCCTCCTCTTCCTGCTTTTTTGTCGGGCCCAGAAGAATTTAAAGCAGCACCGACAATAACCTGGACCAAAGTTGATTGAAACGCCAGCTGCACCATAGCAACAGCCAAGCAAATGGGGAAGCCTGGCGTGGTCTCCTTTGTGAGCCACACAGACGTGAAAGCAAGCCTCCCAAGTCCAAGCATTTGGGGGTGCCTGGAAGGGGGAGAGAGGGAGGGAAGGCAGAGGGCAGTTCATGCTAAGGCTGCCTGTCCTCTCGCCCCGGCCCCGATTCCACGGGCAGTGGGGCCCTGTGGTAGAAGGTCCCGGAGGATGGCTCTCACCCCCGGGCAGCTACGCTTGTCTCAGGACTGGCGAGATGAGTTGCTTTCAGCCTGTTGCTGCCTTCGGGGGCAGCCTGAGACCCCCAGGCATCTAAACAGGGCAGGGGGCGGCTGCCTTCCCTTCCCTTGCATGCTTCTGTTTTTCCAGACAGCTGCAGGGTCTGTTTTCTGCAGGGGAGGGTGGGGTGCGAGTGCAGCGCTCCACTCTTGCAACTTTGAATTCCTTTCCCTGAGCAGGATGTGAGCAGCAACGAGCTGCAGTCTCTCCCTGCCAGCATGGGGGGCCTGGAGTCTCTGCGGGACCTCAACGTCCGGAGGAACCAGATCACCAGCCTGCCCGAAGGTCAGCGCTTTTGCCTCTCCTCTTGGTTCAGAGCCGAGGTCTCTGCTGGCTTCTGTTCAGGGCCTTCCATAAAGTTTCCCAGTTCCGGAGATGTCCAGAGTGCCAGACATCTCAGCCTGTCCTCTGTGGGGTCAAACCCAACAGAGTCTTGAGAAAACCTCATCGGAAATTAAACCTCTTCTCCCGCCTCCCCCTGTGGTTGGTTTTGCCTCTCCTGGGTCTCTCTTTGCTTCAAGAGAAGTGCCAAGGTGGTGCCTGCCACCTCTTCCTCTCTCCAGCCCCCCCCCCTCTCTCTCTCTCTCTCTCTCTCTCTCTCTCTCTCTCTCTCTCTCTCTCTCTCTCTCTCTCTCTCTCTCTCTCTCTCTCTCTCTCTCTCTCTCTCTCTCTCTCTCTCTCTCTCTCTCTCTCTCTCTCTCTCTCTCTCTCTCTCTCTCTCACACACACACACACACACTGGTGCCTGTCCTGTTTTCCCTCCTCAGAGCTGGCTGAGTTGCCGCTGGTGCGGCTGGACTTCTCCTGCAACCGTGTCGCGTGCATCCCCGTCTGCTACCGCCACCTGCGGCACCTCCAGTGCATTCTTCTGGAGAACAACCCCTTACAGTCCCCTCCTGCACAGGTACGTTGGGATAGAGGAGGGCTGGCCGGAAGCTGCCCAGGGGGCTGCAGGGAGTGGGAGCCGACCTCTGGTTAACTGCAAACACCCAGCACTTGTTAAACACAAAAGCACCCCTCTCCATTGTGTGTGTGGATGATGGGACCACCTTGTATGTGCTGAGGAAGGCCCTGGGCCTCTTTGAGGGGCGTCCAGAGAAGGGGTGGGCTCCTTACTTCTCCTCTTTCCAGGCCCGGGGCTTCATCTGCACCCAAGGCTTGCTTGAGAGAAGGGGACTCTCGGGAGCCTCTCCTGTGGAGGAAGGAGGGGCTTCTGGGCTGTGACCCCACTTTCTCTTTCCCGCAGATCTGCTTGAAAGGCAAGATCCACATCTTCAAATACCTCCACATGGAGGCCTGCAGCAAGGCCAGGACGGACCTGGCGGAGTTTGCCCGAGGGGGCCGGCCCACTGTCTTCGGAACATGGTGAGGGGGAGGGCAGGGGAGGGGCCGCCCGTGCCCCTCAAGGAGGAGGCACTTCTGTGCAGCACGTCTGGAAGACTTTGGGGCAAGGGGGGGAGGAGGAGAGCTGCGTCTGGTGTCGTTCTGGCCTTTCCGGAGGAGCCAGGAGGGGGTTTTAGGAAAATGGAAGGCTGAGCCCCTTTCTCTCTCCCCCCCGCCCCCCCCACAGCCTGCCCGACGACTTCTATCCCCTCCGGCAGTACGGTGGCCTCGACTCCGGCTTCCACAGCGTGGACAGCGGGAGCAAGCGGTGGTCAGGGAATGAGGTAGGAAGCACCTCCAGGAGAGGCCGTGGCCGTGGCCTCCCTCTCTCTCTGCAGCCTCCAGTTGGGAAACCAGGGTTCCCTCCACCTTTTAGTCCCATGGAGGGCATGGAGGGGGGGGACCTTGGGGTCTGCTCCTCTTTTGAGATTGAGCCTTTTACACATGCACCCTTCTGGCACTGATGGCGCTTCTTCCCTCCCTCCCCCCCCTCCCAGTCCACTGACGAGTTTTCCGACCTCTCTTTCCGCATCGCTGAGCTGGCCCGGGACCCCAAGCAGCTGAAGGAGAAGCGAAGCGGGGGGGCCGGTGAGTGGCCAGGTTGGAATCATAGGGAGAAGGCTGGGCTGCTGCTGGATCCAGACCGGCCGGGGGTGGGGGGGAGGTGAAGAGGGCGGTGCCTCGGAAGCCAATCCTCCTCCTCCTCCCTCTGTAGCTGCAGCCGAGGCCGGTGATGGAGAGCAAGTGGACTTCATTGACAGCAGCATCAATGGGGAGGAAGAGGAAGAGGCGTCAGGGCCCCCCCTGGGCAACTCCCACGGGGTGGCCTTTGCTGAGGTAACCCTGCCCCGTCCTCCGGCGGCCAGGCCTTCCGTGGCTTCTCCTGGCTGGCTGGCTGGCTGGCTACCTGCAAGCAGGCAGTGTGGCTTCCATGTGGGCTTTCTTGGGAGCCGAGCTTTTTCAGGAGAAGGGGAAGGGATTCTGCGGTCTGGGTCTCCTGCTCTCTCTGTTCAGGGAGGAGCGGTAGAGGCAGCAGAACTCCCGGGGACGACGAGAAAGGGCAGGGTTAGGGTGGTTTGAAGGCCTTTGAGTTGTGCAGGTCAAGGGCAGGGGTGGCCAACTGGGTTTGCTCCTGCCTGGCATGGGAGTCGTGGGCACAGGGAGGTATGGGCCTGGCTAGCTGTCAGAAGGGTCTCCAGAAGGCTATCTTCTGGCAGGGGCTCTCTGTGTGTCTGTCTGCCTTTCCCTCCCCCCTCCCCTCCTTCTCCTCCAGAGCCATGTGTTCTGCTTGTTCTCTTGCAGGAGCACCAGAAGGTGGCCGGGAAGACTTCCCTCCTGAAAGCAGGACTGGCAGAGTCTGGTCTGACCGGCAGGTGTGGAACGCCCCCTGGCGGCCTCTTTCCCGCTGGGAGCTCTGAGCAACATTTCAGTCCTCTAGGTTTGGAAAGGGGACCCGTGGATGCCACTTTTCACAGGGGATCCTCAGCTGGGGGGGCTGCTTCAGCTGCCCACCCCCTGGTTGACCTGGAGGGTGTCAGCTACCAAATGCCTCTCCCTTGGCTAAATCTGTCTCAGTGGCAGCACTCCATTTCCCTCCCTGGACTTTGGGGAGCAGTGGGTGTGTGGTGCTTCCTGGCTGTTGGAATGTGAGCAGAACAGAGGCCGCTCTTCCCGGGGGGGGGGGAGGAACAAGGATGGTCTCCGTCCCTTAGGCTAGCCTGAGTTATTCCCCTGCGGGGGTGGTGGTGTTTGTGATTTCCCCCCCCATCCCCCTAGCATAGTTCGGTCTGTCCCATACAACCTGCCTTACAGGGGAGGGGGAGGCAGGTTCTGCCCTGGGCAGGGGATGTGTTGGAGTGGAGGAGCCGATGTGCTGACCGTCTCCCGCTCTCTGGTCATCTCTCAGGGGCAGCAGTGGGACCAGCATGCCCCGGCCGGAGCCGTCTGGCGAGGAGCGCCGTCGCCCAGAGCTCCTGCAACTCTGGCAGGAGAGGGAGCGCCAGCAGCACCACCACCAGCAGCAGCAGCAGCACCGGCCCCTGTGGAACCAGGGGTTCGAGAGGCGGGACAGGTACGGGGGCCAAGGAAAGGGTGCTCTGCCAGCCCCCTGCTCCTCTGTGGGGCACCCAGGGGTCCTGCCACTTTGCAAGCAGTTTCTGCCTCGGCCGGACTTGCTCTGCCCACCAATGCGGGTTTCCAGGGGAGCGGTGTCTTGCCAGCCGCTGCGTTCTTGTGCTCGTTCTACACTGCTGGTCGTGGCTGCACACGATGGTAGTCTGTGCCCAGCTGAGTAAGGCAGACCTCTGCCTATTAAAGAGCACCCCCCCGGTCTGTTCCCCTGACCCCCAAGTGGCCTTGCCCTTGGAAACAGGCATTGTGGGTTCCACAGGGTTGCGTGCCTGGAACGTACCTCCTCCTCCACCTTTCTGCGAAGGGTGGCTGGCCGCTCCCCTCCTCCTCCTCCTCCCCTGTTTCAGAAGCCCTTCCCCTGGCAGAGTCCTGAGGATTGGCCTGGTGGCTTTTTTTCAGCACATGAGCCCTGCGAGGGGGCGTGCTGGCTTTTCTCCTTCAGGGTGTGTGTGTGGGGGGGGGAGAACTTGCCAGCCCAAAGCCACACTGTGTCTGGCAGAGACAGGATTTGAACTCAGATCTGATGGACTATTACTAGTGTTACTCATCTTTGTTCCCTTTTTAAAAAGGCATCTATTGCTTGCTGGGAAGGGGGTGCCGGGCAGACGGATGTTGGGGGCATAGCGCTGCTCCTTGTGTCACCAGCAGTGCTGACGCCTGCTGGGCGGTGATCCTCCCTTCTGTTTCTGATGGGTTTCCTCTCCCCTTCGCAGTGGCCTGGCAGAGAGCAGCAGCAGCAGCAGCAGCAGCCTCTCGCAGCTGAAGCACCGGAGCCAGGTATAGCCAGGTGACAGCTTGGCTGTGTGCATGTCTGTGTGTGTGTGAGAGAGAGAGAGAGAGGGAGAGATGGAGAGGGCCCTGCGTGTGACAACGCTTGCCCGCCTTGCTAGCTTGATTCCCTTGGCAGAGTCGAGGAGGTGGGCCTCCGCCCCCCCCCCCGCTGGAGGTGGTGGTGGTGGTTGTTATCTCAGCGATCCTTTTTCCCCTTTGCCTTTTGCAGGGAGTTGACCAGCTGGCCACTGGTTCTCCGAGGCAGAGCCTGCTTTTTGCCGGTAGCTCCTCTTCAGGTGCAGTCGATGTGGAGGGGGGCCGGGGGGGGGGGGCGGGGGGGGGGGCTGGTAGGATTCTTCCTGGTCAGCCGGAAGGGAGGGGCAGCGGGTGGGCGTGCGGGTGTCTCCTGGCTTTCGGGTGGCCTGCCGTGTTGGCAGCCAGTGGGAAGGGCTGGGGAGAGCGAAGCTGCAAGTGGGTCCCCCCCCCCAGAGGTCTGAGTAGAAGTGGCCCTTCTGGAGGGGCTGGGGACCGGGGCGCGACTCTCTCTGGGAGTCACCAGCTGCAGGAGGGGGGGATAGCAGCCGCTGCTGGGACTTGCTTCATTGAGCGCTTCCCTCCCCCCCACTTCAACCCCCTCCCTCCCCGACGTGTCATGGGCTGCATCCCCGTTGTTGCCTCCACAGACGGCGGTCACCCCCAAAGCTCCGGCGCAGCCTCCGCTTCCCCCCGCGAGCCTGGCTCCCTTCACAGGCCGTCCAGCTTCCTTTTCCGCTCCGCGTCGCGGCACAGCACCCAGCGGGGCTCTGGTACGTATCGGAGGAGGGCACCTCCCGTGTAAGAGGAGATACGGCCCGCCTTAAGCGGTGTTGTGGCTGGCCGGTTACGGGAAAGGCCGTTTTCTTTCTTCCTTTCCTTTGAACACCAGTGTAAGGAAACCACGCTGCCGAAGTGCTCAGAGCGGGAGAAGGCGCTTGTGCCTTCCTGGCAAAAGGGCGAGCCGTGGTGCCCGCTTGCTCGTCAAAGGGACTTCTCAAAGGCATTTAAGGTCTTTTTGACGGGTTTTGTGTCGTTCTCATCGATCCTGATGGCAGTGTCCCCACCCGCATGGTTCCTTCTGAAGAACAACAGAAGGGGGTGCTTTTCTGCCATCGCAATACGTGAGAGCAGTGAACTGCTTTCCCCAACGCTGTGACGAGTCACGAGAGCTAATTGCTTATTAGAAAACAACTCTGTCAGCCAGTGGCTGGTCAGATGACTGGGAGTGACAGCCCTGTGTGGAAATAGGCACCGAGCAGTGGTGTCGAACTGTGGCCCTCCAGATGTTCTTGGCCTTCAACTCCCAGAAATCCTGGCCAGCAGAGGTGGTGGTGAAGGCTTCTGGGAGTTGAAGTCCAAGAACATCTGGAGGGCCACAGTTCGACACCACTGTGAGGAATCGAGAACCATCACTTTGTGGGCTTGGAAGGGGCCCCCAAGCCTCACCTGGTTCTGTTCCGCCCCCCCCCCCTCAGGAGAGGATGCTAGGAATTCACAGCCCTGGGAGAGGCAGGTGGCCACAGGGGTTCAGAAGCCTCCGACTGGAGGAGAGTCCGCCCTCTTCCCAGGGAGGCTGCCGTCAGGGCCAAAGTGAGGGAGAAGGAGGGTTTTGGAAGGAAAGGCCCGTTCCTTGTGTCCAGGCTCTATCTCAGCTCTCTGAGGGAGAACCTGTGAGGGATCTCTGGAGCCCACCGCCCTTTGGGGGCAGGGGGATGGCCGGAGGGCAGCCTCAGGAAGCAGAGGTGCCCTGGGAGCCGGGCAGAGCGGACCAACAGCCTTCCTCCTGGCCTCAGCCCTGCAGATTCAGGGTGCCACCTGTGTCTGTGTGAGAAGCAGGTCCCCCACGGAGGGGCGAGCCTCTCTACCTGCAGCCGAGCCGGGCCGAGGTCTGTCTGTTCCGGCTATCAAAAGTGAGAGGCCCCTGAAGCCGCCCCAGCACTTCCGGCATGCCAAGCTGCACGGATGGCCCCTGGTCCCGCCGGGCTGCGGCCCTTCCCTGATCAGGGAGAAGTGGGTGGATCCTGAGCTTTGTGTCCCCAGGTTCCCTCTCCCCGGATCTCTCCTCTTCTGAGGCTAGCAGTCCCCTGAGGTCACGCACTGGATTCCAGGCAGTGGATGAGCGGGAAGTCACCCTCCAGCTGCGAAAGGTAGGGCGGTTCTAGCCTGCCTCCCCGGCACCTCTTCTGCCCCATAGGGTGGGGGAACCGGCCCTGTGGGGCGTCTCGGCTTAATTCTACAGAGAACCAAAGTCTCGTGATCAAGAGGGCCTTCCGAACCCTCTCTGGGATTTGTCACCCGGAGCCAAAGGGCACTCAGCCAGGGGCTTCTGAGAGGTGTGTGTGTGTATGTGGGGGGGGGGAGAAGTACCCCTTGGGGCTGTCAAGAGAAATGTTTTGAGCAAGAAGGGGTGGGTGAAGAGGGAAGGCACACCGGAGCGAGAGCAGGAAGGGACACAAGTGAACGGGCCCCAAAGTGGGATCCTCTCTAGAACTCAAAGCCTCGCTTCCGGGCTCCCCATGGGTGGGTTTCCTGCTGCAGTTGGCTGTAGGGGTGAGGATTGGGGGGGTGGGACGGCACTGGTCCCTGGGAATGGGCCGCAACCCTTTTACGGCAAACGGTGCCTGTACGCTTTCACCTCTGTCCGTCTGCCTGTCCTCCTTCCTTCCTTCCTTCCTCTCTCTTTCCAGGCCATCGAGTCCCAGTTGAACATCAGCCTGGCTGAGGACCTGGGGGAGGCGCTGGCCAACGGGGTCATCCTCTGCCAGCTGGTAAACCACCTCCACCCACGGTCTGTGCCCTTCATCCACGTGCCCTCTCCCGCTGTGGTGAGTGAGCCTTTTTTTGAGCTGCGGGCGGGGGAGACGGGTGCGCCCCCTCCTCGCCAACCAGAGGGTCTCCCAGAGCAGGCTGACTCTGTGCCCCTGGAGGCAGCTGGGTTTGGGTGGGCCCTTCGCCCGTCAGGCCCAGTCAGTGGGGCCAACGTAGCGCGCCCCCACCCCCACCCCCGGCTTGTCCCCACCCGTTGCTGTCCTTTCCCTGCAGCCAAAGCTGAACGCCATCAAAAGCCGGAAGAACGTGGAGAGCTTCTTGGCTGCCTGTCGCCAGCTGGGGATCCCGGAGGTGAGGCCCGCTTGGGTGGCAGCTGCTCTGGCCTTGTGCCCGTCTGCAGCCGGGAGGGAGGGAGGGAGGGGAGGGCAGAGCAGAGCCGTGGTGCCTCTGCTGAGGGAGCCCCCCCCTCTGGAAGTGGTCTCCAGCCCACCTGCCCCCAGCCAGTCCTTCCCGGGGTCGTGCCCCCCTCACCCACTCACCTCCTTCCACCCCACCCCGACTTGCACACCCTTTCAAGCAGGGCCGCCCCCCCCGCCTTGCTCGTTTGTGAGCCTGTGTGTGGTTGTGTGTGTCCCTTTCTGTACTTTCGCCCTCCTCCTCCTTGTGTTTTCTCTCCCACCGCTGCAGGTCTTCCTCTGCTCTGCCTCCGACGTTGCCCTCCTCCTCCAAGGCAACAGCCGCGGCTTGCTTCCCCTCCTGGAGGCCTTGTTACTGCTGCTGCTCCCGCCTCCCCGGCCAGCGACGGTGGTGGTGGGGAGGCCTCCTGCCCCGGCCGCCCTGTCCGAGCACCTCGCCGGCTTTGGCCTCTTCTATGTCTGTGTCATGCTGCTGCTCTACCTGGCCTATGCCAAGCTCTTGGGCTGTTGAGGGGGCAGGGGATGTGGAGGCCGGGACACAGAAGGGGTAGGGCCTGGCCCCCCAAGGCGGGAGGGGAGACCTCGGGGAGGCCCTCAGCGGTCCGCCTGCCCCTCTTGGGGTGATTCAGGCTCGGGAGGGAGGGAGGAGGGCAGTGTTCGCAGGAGGGGGCCCGCGCCCCTCCTTTGGGTCTCCTTGAGAGGCAACAGCTCCCCCTCCCCAGAAATTTCATGATGTTTCTTTTTAAAAAACAGACCCCAACCCTTTCCCAGTCACACCCATGCGCCCCTCCCCTCCCCAACTAACTCAGGACCACCCGATGCTCGTGCTGGAGTCGTCCCGCCAGCCACCTGCTCCTTGTCCTGGGGAGGGCGGTGGCTGGGGGGGGGAGACGGAGTTCCCTGGTGCAGCAACGCTGCCCCATGGCCCCTGTGCCTTGTCCCACCACGGAGGTGCCCAGACACTGGAAAGTGTTCCGTGGGAGGGAAGGGACCCCAAGGCCCCTTTCCCTCCCCTCCCCTTCTGTTGCACTTCAGCCACGTTGCACTAAATGCATCAGTGCCTGCAGCGGGAGGGCCAAGCGCCGCCGGTCCTGTCGCTATGAGGAAGGAATCCTGGGGAGAGCCGGGGGGGCATGAAAACCCTCCCCCCACCTCTGTCTTGCCCAAGGGCCGTTGGGCTGCTCCAGGGACCCCATCCTTGGCGGCGGTGGCTGGTGGTGGTGGTGCTGCGGCCACCGCTGCCATTCCCCCCCTTCACGTTGACCAAAAAAAAAAAGGCTACATATTTTAACCAAATCACACCCCTTCCCCAGAGGCACACCCAGAGTGGTTAGAGGTCTCTGCCTTTGTTGGCTGCTTGTACCCCTTCAGCGTGGGGCTTCCCTCGTCCCGACCCCCAGCAGCCATCTCCCCCCCCCCCAAGCTGGGTTTTGGGTAGCTGCTGTCCAGGTCCTCGGGTCACCCCCGGGGGCATCCCGGCCTTTGAGCCGAGGCACTTCTGGGTCTCATCCCCCTTCCCGGAGATGAGCCCTGCCCCTCGGTCCCGCAGCTGCCTGGGGAACGATTCTGCCAAGGGTTTTTTACCATGCCAAGTCCTCTGTCCTTCCTGCCGGTGCTGCCCCGGGGGGCGCCCTGCGGCCTTGGAGGCCAGCCCTGGAGACCCTCTGACCTTAATTAAAACATGCAATTTTAGCAGGTCCTGAGAGGGAGGGAGGAGTGGCAAAGCGAAGAAGATGGGAAGGCCAAGGAGAGGCCTCTTGGGCCATTTGACGGTCTTTAGCTCTTGCCCCCAGGCCAGGGGCTGGCTCCTGCTCCCCCTGTTGTCTCTGGTACCCCCATGGAGGCAGGCGGCTCCCTGGACGACAACGGCCAAGCAGAGCTGTCGGTTGGCGGATTTTGACCGTCGTAGCTCGCCCCCACCCTCCCGAAGTGTCCAAGCGCCACTAAGCTGCAGTTGGACGGAAACGCCTTTAAGGCAGGTATAAGAGACCCCAGGCTTCCTTCCCGGGGGGTGGGGTGGGGGCTTCCTACTGGACCCTGTTTCCAAATCTCAGCCACTCGTCTCTCCCTTTGTTGCCTTA